CCGTGGCCGCCGCTGAGAAGCAGTTCGTTGCCACTTTGGACTACAGTCTTGCTTGTACACGACGATTGTGACCCAACTTTGGCGGTGGGCATCATGCCCAGATTAAGGCTCCCGAAGGGCATCGTTGCGATGCTTTCTACAACGTGGGGCCAACAGCAACGTTGGCTTCTCTTTGAAGGCCCGTTGCATCAGTCTCCGATCGGTGTATCGAGGCCCTTACCGCAAGGTGATCCTTGGTCTTGAACTGGTCTAGTGGCCACGCTCAAGGTGCCCATGCAGCAGATCTCCAGACAACACCTTCACATGACCGCGCGCAGCTTCGTCGACGATCACAGTTGGGCTACGCCTTCGGCTGCGGAATCTGTGGAAGTCATGCGCAGGTGGCATTCTTGGTCTGACGAGCTGGGTTTGCACGAGAGCTTTTTCGCTGCTGATCAGAGTTGCAAGAAAGCTCTGCTGAGAAGCGGCGCTGCTCTCCTTGCCTCTTGGACACAGTCTTCAAAGGCACTGCGCGGCGTAAACACACGCCAAAAGAGGAGATCGCCTCTGCAAGTCCAAGAAGCTTGTCCGCATAGCGGCATAGCCTCTTTCCTGCCGCTGCCGTACAAGCGCAAGGTGATGATCATGGCTGCGGCTCCTTTCGCGAAAGCAGCGTGGGGTTCGTTCTTCCAGTCGCCCACCAACTTGCAGTTCCGACAGTTGGGTGTTACTGTGCGCAAGGCCCTCAAGGAGCCGAAGCGTGTATATGTACATCTGCGCAACATCTTGAGGGGTCATCGCACTGACTTGCCTTTTCGCATTTTGGAGATGAGTGCTTCGGCTGCCCGTAGATGCGCCCTCAAGTTTCCTGATGGTATAAGCCCTGCACGTGGAATGCTCAGCAGGGTTGGTCTGCCACCATTGCTCAGTCACTCAAGCAAATTGGTTGGGAGATCGCAGCTCCTTGGCGTTGGAAGCACGCGCACATGAACCTCACTTTTTCTCTTGACCGCGGTGGGAGAAACTTTGCAACTAATAAAGACCTCTTTACACAACTCTTGCATGAAGCATGGAGGCTTTCGGAATGGGATGCTTGGCACTCCGCCAGCAGAAATCATGCAACCGCATGCGTCGATCAGCAGTACAGTGAGCGCAGACGCAAGTTGGCAACAGAAAGTGGCTCAAACTAGCTACTGTATGCTGCTTTCGGGTTTCTTTCAAACTTTCTGGTGCCTTTGCCAGTGTCGCAACGTTTCAGAGGGATGAGAGCTTGTGTTTGCGGACGAGAGGTCCCCACAACTGAGTATCTCTTTTCGTCACGCCATGCCTTTGAGGACTGTAGACCGCGCAGGCGGTATGATTCCTTGCAAAGACGTTGGGCTTGGCCGATGGGACGACCATCAGACGCGGCGGTCGTAAGTCACTGCCTTGAGGTCCGCTCCGCTGTGCTGGCTGCCAGGTGGAGTCCATCCACCAACAAGCTCTGGATGAGTTACTGCCCCTATTGGTGCAGGTGCTCGTCTACGAAGACAAAGTGCCCTCGCTATGGCAATGTTCCTGGCTCCGGATGCACCGGCGTGATTTTGCATTCGGTTGGCAGCTGCAAAAAACTTGTTGCGTTTCAACGCAAAGGGCGGAAGTTCACCCTTCCACGTCGACCCACAAAACCACTGACCAAGGACTGCTCGAATCCCACAGGTGTCGATTTATGGAGCATGCGATTTTCGGAAGGGACTTCGGAGGACCTGCCGTGCCCATGCCCATGTCTGCGAGATGGGACACATTGTCCTGAAGGCCTGGCTTAAGGGTAGGATTCCTGGCCTGGGGTTTGGCGGTTACTCCTACCGTTTACAACTTGATGCTTAAATTCCTCTGTGGATCTCTGGTTATTGGTGGCTGTGGCCCACACATAGCAATGACGGGTGTGCGGTTTTCAGTGCAGGCATGCACATTCTTGGGTGGCTTGCCTGGGTTGGCATCGGTTGGAAGACGTTGTCGGTTCGTTGGTTCTGTTTATGGTGGCGCATGCTTGCTGTGCTGTTTTGGACGATGACTTTACCTTTTCTCGTTTATCCTGCGGTATTTGTTTCATGTGGCAGTCCTGTACAGTGTTTGGAATTTGGAGCTGCGCTTGGTTTCTGATCCCTGCGGATGAGTGTGCGTGTGAAAAGAAAGCCTTTCCCTAAGTCCCTATAAGCCCTACAAGCCCTTTAAATCTCAAACCCCCTGATCAGCCGCCACATTCCTGAACTTCCTAAACGTTTCCTCAGCCACGCTGGGAACTACTCTCAACGTCACATAGCGAATTGTCTACATCACTGCCAGAGCTCGTTCGGGCAAATTGAATTTGATGTAACTTATTTCGAATGGACTCTAAGAGCAAAGTCGCAAATTGGGGTGCTTTGTGTTCTGTGTTCAGCTTCGTGCCGGTTAACATTGTTACCTATACTGCTTTTCTGTGGCTAATTCTTTTCCAACCCCTTCGATTCATGTTATTACTTTCATGGCTAATCGTGTATTGTTTCGAAGTTTGCTTGTCGCCACCAGTTTTTCAAGCACGCATGGCATGCACACGAACAAAACAAACCCAATGTTTAGAAACTTTGCACAATAATGTTGGCTCGACCATGCAGGGGGTCTACTTTTTGTATATTGCGTTCACGATCTTCGCAGTTCTCAATGCCCGTGCCTCAGCATTCGCGGTATGATTTTGTTGGCATTCTGCATCCGTTCGGCCGTGTCATAGTTTTTGCATTCCATGTGAACCCTCGTCATACAACACGCTGTCGTGGGGACCTGGTCATGTAATGACAGATAATGACAGTAATTATACATTCTTGCACTTAACATGTTGGCTGTGCATATCAGTTCGGCCCTGGGTCCTGCAGTTGATGACTTTGGAGGCACAGGCCCGTGCTACACAAAACAAAGCCTCTGTGCGATGCCATACATAAGCTGAAGCTTAACTACCTTTTGCATAACCGATTGATTTTGCAAGAAAGCGGTATTCGTAAGCGACGAACTCGGTTTGGATATGGCGCACGCACGTCACTCCTGTTGGACCAGGTTCTCGCGCCCGAAATGGCCTCAACAGACTGTTTCAACTTTGCAATGCCCCACCGCCAGTAGTTTTCCCTGCTTAGAAAATTGCCCGGACAGCAAAGAGGTCTTCCAAAAAACAGAAAACGCCAAAAAAGGTCATGACTGGCGTTTTTTGCCAGTCAGCTATAGAAAGTCCCTTGGCTGCACTATGACTTGAGCAGGCCAGTTAGTGCTTTGCGGCATGTACTTGGCAGGGTCTGCAAGTTTGCAAGGCATTGCCAACAGCTCAGGTGCTCAAAGAGATCATGACATGGCAGGACCCTTGGCACAGCCTTCTTGTCGTTTACTCGTTTAGGTTGTAGGCATGGAATTCATAGCATTTCATGATTGCAAAGGTTATGCAGAACGTGGTTCAAGAAAAAGAAGGCCACATGAGCAGCTCGGTGGCACACGGTATGTTGCGCAGCTTAGTGGCTTTTAAGTTTCCTTCGCAACAGCCTTGGCTGTTTTGCACATGTTTTTTCGCTGGTTCGGCAGATGCCCGCAACTGAGGAAAGTGTCGTCAGCCTGACATGTGTTTTCGCCTCGAAGTTCATTTTGCCCCAGATCGGGAACCTCTTGGGCACAGGGTCGTTCATCGACACCGGTTGATCCATCCTCTATTGCCAACGCGACAGGCCAACTCTTCGGCATGCTGGACCTCGACGATACAGGACTCCCGGCACACATTAAAGCTAAACACCGTGCCCATAAATTTGCGAAGGCACTGAACGCAAGGCTTGTGGGTTTGTGCTTCGGGCGTTACACATATTGGCCCAAGCTTTCTGTTGAGGTCCTGAGTGTGTTCGTGAGAGGCTTATACAACATTTCTCAATGTTCCTCTCAGATCTTATACTGCTTGTAGGATTTGGGTTTCATGGTTTAGGCTTTGCTGTACCCAGCCTGCTTTGCAGCAAGTCAGGCGAGCCAGCCTCTATGAAGTTGAAAAGATGACTGCTACTCAAGACTCCAAGCCCGAAGCCCTATGTCGCCCACCGTCTCTGAATCTTGCGGCCTTGGCTGGCAGCAGCGACACGATCCCGAAACCCAAAGCCTTAAATTCGGAGCCCCTCAATGGTCCTAGGTTTAGGGTTCAGGCCTCGGGTCCTAAGCCTTAAGCTGAACTTCAAATTTTAAGATCAGACCGGCCGAAACAGCGAAGCGTCCTCAGGATCCATCACCATCACAGAGCTTGAGGAGCGACTAGAGGACCTATGCAGGCTATGTAGGCTCTTAGGGTTCAGGGCTAAGGATTTCAGGTTAGGGTTCAGGGGCTTAGATAGCCCAAAATCACCTTCTGATCGATGGCTCTAGTCTAGTGGGGGTTTGGGGATCTTCGCGTAGGGTTTAGGATTAGCGCATACAGGTATGTACCTGTGACAGTGATCATCATATAGAGGTTTGCGCTCCAGGTTTCCTAGGGATTGTGGCTCAAGATCGACAGGGCTTCAGCTTCAAGCTTGACAAAGACCACCGTACATCCACAACTTTGTCACAGCTTCCACAGAACAAGCTGGTTGAGTTGCTGCCGTTTGGAACTTAGGGCCTGCAGCTCCTGATTTCTGAAACTCAACATTCGCAATTGAAGGATGTAGGGTTGAAAGCAGGGTGTTCCAGGCTTCAGGGTCCAGACTTCAGACTCAGCTCGTCCACTTCGCAGCGAAGCAGCGGGATTCTCGATATGTCATGGCATTGCGGCAGTCCGGGTTTTCGGTGCCTTCCATGACGCCAGGAAAGCTTTCTCAAGCCATCCAAGAACAGAAACCCTCCGTTGATCAAGACTATGCACCACATGCAAGCGCAACAGATCAAGCAAGGAAGCATCTACTACAGAGGAGTGAACTCCGATACTGTACCCTGTATACACCTCCGCAGGGCACCTTGATGCTTGCAGGATCCTCAAGTGAGACTCTTCTTCGAAGCGCTTGAGCTCAGTATCGATGATGCCTGGCGCTCGGGAGGAGGTCTTCCTGTGCTCGGAACTTCAGGCGATCGAGGTTTCCGGATATTGTGGCTTTGGGGCTCCTGCTCCAGGTTCGAAAGGGCGGTTAAGGGGGCTCGGGGGGCATGATGTGGTTTGGGGGGACAGGGCGGGAAGGGTTGAAGGTTGAGGGCAATAAGTGTTTACATGACCTAAACTCCAACTAGTGCACTCCCCAAGCCGGTTCCTTGTAGAACCCTGGCGAACCCACTAAAGGACCCTTACAGATCCCTAAGCGCTTCTTTCAGAGCGAGGTTTGGACTTTCTTTATGCTCCTGGATGGTGACAGTGGCCAAGAGATCGCTACTTGCCTTGTCTGCCGGGAGAAGCCTAAAGCTAAGGGGCCTGTTTATAGGGTGTCAAGATGTGTTAAGTGCATGTTTTGCACCTTGCTTTTCGAACAGGTTTCGTCAGCTGCCTTCTCTAAGGATAATCGTAACAGCGTATGTAACAGTATTTCCTGAAACCCCCTATGATAGCGAGAGTATTGCATGCCCCAGCACATTTGAAGCCCCTCATCCCCTGTATAAACGTAAATGCAGCAACAGTTACCTTGCTTGTCGGCATGAGTGGGTTCTAGGTCCATGTTTCGGCAATTGATTTTTAGTCGGGGTTAGGCTTCCTTCTCCTGAGGCTTCAGTGCTGCAGTGGTGGTCCAGGAAAACGCCTAAACATAAGGATCTCATAATGCAAATCCCCGTCACAGGGGTCCGTTTACCAAAAAGCAAGGGATCTTTAGGGCTTTTGAGATAAACGGTTTTGGGGGTTTCGGGTTTGGGCTCTACGGGCTTATGGGGGATCCGCAGCGATGACGTCTTCTCATGCCTATAGTGCACGGTTCAGGACTCTTCTTGCGGCTTTCTGGACCGAAAATCTTAACACGAAGCTCGAGCTCGAGAAGCTGTGCTGACGTCCTGAACCTTAACGGCCCTACTCCCTAACCTTACACCCTAAATGCCTAAACTCCAAATCCCCAAGGACATGGAGGAGTTCCTCTTCGGATGCATGCGCCTCCGCGGCAATGCGAAAGCCCTGGACCTCGCAAAGCTGATGCGGCTTGACTTGTATCAATTGGGTTTCGGATGTTTCGGGTTTTGGGCTTAGGGCTTCAAGATATAGGTATAGGGTTACAGTTTAAGCGTTGCAGAGTGCCAGGGTGGAGTTCAATCTGTGGGACTGGAATTCAGGTTTAGGGTGTAGGCTTATACGGTTTAGGGTATGGGGGCACGCCGTAACATCTTCAAAGGTGGAACGGTTTGCAACTCAGTTCTTGCTCGTCGCCTTGCCGAAGTCCAGGTTCATGTATCGCAGCACTCTGACACACACCGTTTCGCAAGCCATGTTCATTCTACCTTTTGCCGTTCGCCGGGCAGGTAGAGAGACTGTAACAGAAGTGTGTCGTCGAAGCAGCAGTGGCAGCAGCAGCTCCAGTGCAAGCACCAAGCACTACAAGACGTGGTTGCGGTAGTAGCAGCAGCACTAGGGGCCGTACCAAGTGGCGTGAGGATCTTTTTCAAGCACATGGCTTAAGATTGCTGTTGGAGTGCTTACGTGTTCAGGTTTGCGTTCAGGTTTGCAGTTTGGCGGTTTAGGAGTTTACAAACTAGGATTGCGAGGTTTGAGGTTAAGGCCAGCTGACCCTTGGTTCTGCACTGCCAGGCAATCACACGCTTGGCCTCTTTGACCGCACTTAGGGCTGAGCGGTTCGGAGGACTTTCGAGAGGGAGAACTGAAAGACGGAAAGGATTTCAGAGCTTCCGGTACTTGAGCCCAGGATGCATGAGCTGCTGCAGGCCTTCTATCGCAATATTTGAGGGTCTGAAAACTCGTCATAATATGTGATAACTGTCCTCCATTGTCCATATATAACGGTCTACTGGAACGATACAGGCATCTTTAGCGCGCTTCCCTCTTTTCGAAACACCTTCCACACCCCAAGCGGGTCATTGAGGCTGGATTTCTGTGGCGGGTTTTCTGTTCGAGGGCTTTGTCGGTTTTTGCCACGGGTTTTTTGAGGCTGCCTTTGGCATTGGCGCTAGGGCCAAGGGCTGACTGAAACGGCTCCAGCGTTGCTAAGTTATTTGCTGTTCTCCGTCCGACAAATATATTAGTTCGGTTTGTGTTGGGGATTTAGGGCTACATTTTGATTCCGGGGCCATGGCAATGAACCGGATTAGATTCGAAGCCCTAAACCCGAACACCCAGTTCGAACCCTACACCCTGTGCCACAAGCCATAGCGTAAACAAGCTGATATGCTGGCATGACAAGATGGAGATCCTCGTGGGCATTCACCGGTTCATGGTCGTGAATAGCAGGGTGATAATGTTCTAAACTGTCTCCAGGGTTAGGCAGAACACGGTAGGCCCCTGTTGAACAACCCCCATCCCCAGACCCGGAAGGGAGGAGGATTTACGGTTCAGGTGAAAATAAGCCAATCTTTCCTTGACAAGTTGGGCCTGTCGTTAAACGTAAGGACACTTCGAAGAGTCACCTTTTCCGGGATTCATAACCAAACTTGTTCCTCCCAGTAGACGCGAAACCCCGAGGCCTAAACAAACCTCAAGAGGCCCACCTAGAACACAATACCCCTTAGCACCCTGCACCGCAAAGCCAAAGTCCGAAGCCCCTAAAAATCCTGCATGAACAACTGTTCACTGCTCCGAGGATGGTCAAAAAGCAGGCAAGATCCCGTCCCTGATGGGCCTGATGGGTCTTGGGATTACAGCGGGCTTTTAGGGCGTGCGATGCGTAGGGCTTCTAGGGTCTAGGGTTTGGGGTTTAGGTTCCAGGGTTGCTTGCATGAAGATTTAGCAAGAGCTGCGGGGTCTTTCGGTTCAGCATCCGAGTTTGTGGTCTGGGCCGTTTTGTAAGCTGCCGCTCCTCCTTTTCGTATTCTGCGCGGATGCACGTGTTTGCAATTATGCATGTGTATATATATATATGTATATATTTGTGTGTGTGTACCTGCATACACACACACACATATATATATATATATAGATGTATAGTCAGGTATATGTCTGTATCTATATATATATATGCACACATGTATGTTTCATGATGAAGACTGGACTGCCATCAAATGCACATGTGTGAGGAGCGAGGAGAAGGAAGAATCTGGTCAGCTGGCACAAACGACAAGTTACACAGGGCATTGCAGCTCCCCAGACCAAGACAATCCTCAACCTCGCTTGAAAGCCCTCCCCTTCCACTCCCCCCCCTCCCTCTTCATACCCTAAACCTTAAAGCCTACAGTAGCCAAACCTAACATAGTCCAACTGCGAAGTTCTGCGACCCCAAAGCTGGGCTGCAGCCCACGGAATACCTCGAAAGCGCCAAAACCCACCCGGGAAAGGAGGAAGGATGCCATGCAACCCTAGACCGACAAGAAACTTGCAACCCGGAGCTAAAAACCTTACGAGGTTGGAAGCCCTGGGCCATCAACCCGAAGACCCCAAACCCCATAAACCCCCTGAACTCCTGAAGCCGTCAGCCCCAAGAAGCAGAGAGAAGCCCTAAGCATCCTGGAGAGGTGGATTTCATGATGTTTTGCGAGGAGCAGCCGGGGCCCTGGGTGCTCTCAGAGTTGATCTGACCTGCTGATCTTCGAAAGCTCATGGTAACAACACGGCGACCATGAAAAACAACAACAGCACCATTAGTTGCAAGGGGTAATGCACTTTTGAGAGCTTGGACTTTGACGGGAGTATCAATGCTCCCTTCTTCTAGTCCCTCTCCCTCTCTCTCTCTCTCTCTCCATATATATATATATATACATATATATATATATATACATATATATATATATATATTTATGCGCACACACATACACACATGTACCATTACCTCCTCCAAAGCACAGGGCCTGACCCCTACAGTCCTAAAATGCCCGGGACCCAAAACGCTGCCGGACTCAGGTTTTCGATGATGCCACGACTGATCAAAGGCGACTCCTCCAGTCGGACAGGGCTCAAGATGTCGGCTTGAGGATGCAGTGTTTAAAGGCTTAGGGCTTAGCGTTTAAAGTTTAGGATTCTGGTTTGGTGCGTTGCCCTTGTAGCCTACAGGTGCCAGCAAGCGGCAGCAAAGAAGCGCCCTTGTTTGACGGCCAGTGACGCCCAAGGCCTGGGGTGACGAGAGGGGTGGGGTTAGGGCAATTAATGCAATTTCGTACTCTGGGCGGTGACACCAACGTCAAGCAAGGAGAAGAACCGCCGGAACCATAGCAAATCAGCAAGCCGAGCAAAAATGCAGGCACCCGCAGCTGTTCACATGATGTCTATATGCCAGATTAGCGCGGTCCTCGCCATTTCCTACAAAATTCTAGCTGCCGGAATAGTCGGGAAGATCATGACCACAGCAACTATCAGCAATGTGTTGCAATTTAGTTGGGTATCATTTCTGTTCTGAGTCTACTGTTGTTCCTAGTCTGGGTACAAGTGTTCATTACTTTGCGCAGCAAGAGAATGTGGCAGAATGCTGGAAGATCTCGTGCCTGGCATTGCCTGTGTCGTGAGTTTGCTAAGATGCGACAGAATACACTGTCACTTCAGGGATTAGGGTTAAGGACACTGATAGCAGACTTAATCTTCTTTGCGTTATGGTGGTGGTTCCGATCTTCGACCACAGCAATTGACACTGTAAAGCTCCGATGGTATTTTGCCGACCTTGAAGCCCTGGAGCCCGAAACCCGACGTCTAAATTCAATGGAAGCCTCCACCCAAAGAAGCATGCACACGCAAAGGGTTCACTCTTTACGGATAGACATCACGCCAGCAAACCTTCAATGCCCCGCCCTGAGATATATTCCTAACACCTCCTAAGCTCTAAGCCAACCCTCATCCTAAACCTTCAAACCGAAGCTTTCTAGCCTGAGCCCAATGCACTCTACGCTGCCTCCTGCAATTTCCGAGGCGCCGTTGGCCCAGCGAAATACCATCAAAAGCTTCGTGGAGCGGTGGAACCAGTCGCCTGGATTCAGGCTAGAAAAGCGAGCTTGGCGATTGAGGTAGGGTGTTGGGGTATTCTGTTCTAGTAGAATTATACTTGAGGCACTAGAATAAGTAAGCAGCGCCTGTTGCGACTATTTCGCAGACCCGCCCTAACCCTAAACCCTAAACCCCTACACCCTTTTTAGTAGCGAGTCCCTACAAGTAAGCCTGGAATGCCAGGATCCATTTGCCAGGCCGAGGGCTTCCAACTCTGCCCTGACGAATCTCAAAGAGTTTCGGATTGGAATGTAGAGGGTTTAGGGTTTGTTAAGTGTTATGGGCTATACGGGCATAGGGCTCTAGGGTTGTAGGATCATAGGCTTAGAGGGTTTTGGGTTGAAGCTTCTAGGATTAAAACTTGGTTAAGGGGTTTCAATGGGTTTAGGGTGAGAGGTCCTCCTGCCGGTTCCACCGCATCGCGTAGAAGCCACTGTGCGGTTTTCTCGTCAGGGAGCCCGCTGCCCTTTGCGGAAGCCGTCAGAAGCACTATGGCCGCTACGGCATCTTCTCAAAGCAGCAAACAGCTGTCATGAGCGCTAGTTACCTCGAGTGCTACTGCTACAGCAATCGTTAGTAGTGTAGTTGTGTCGAGCTTCCTGTGTTTGTTGTTGTCCTCTATCGCACGATGGTTGTTGTTGTTATTGCTGTTGCCAGTAGTACCCCCTCGGCGATGGTTGCTGTGCACGGAAGCAATAGATTTTTGGATGGTGCATGCTCTGCAGTGTAGCGATCTTGCATTACCATGACCATGAGGATGGGCCTGCTTGTTGTCATGGTGATAAGCGCCTAAACTCTCAACGATGTGTGCACGGCTTTGCGTTAACCAACGGGGCTTCGGCTCTCTGATTTCCATCTTCAGTGGATTCCGGTCGGGATTCCGACAGTATCTCGGTTGAGGCTAAGAGATCCAGCTTCGAGCCAAAAGGCCCGACTCCAGACTACACTGAAGCCTACAGGATGTTAAGTCAATGTTAAGCCTTAGGCTAGATTCCTGGAAGTTTCGAGGGTGTTGAAAATCCGAAACCCTAAACTTTAAACCGTAGTGAGTCTTGGCTGTTGCTCTTGCTGTGAAACTCGCGTGTTCAGATTTCCGTGTCTGCTATTGCACACAAACCTCCGATTGATCCGTCCTTAATATTAGAGCTGTTAGGGTTTTGGGCTTATACTGTAGGGCTTAGGGCTTGTAATGGTTCATGAGCAGCCGTCGAAATTTCCGTAAAGGTAGTCAACAGTAGGGCCGCCTTGGATTGCCGGATTTGGCCAAAATATTCGAAAAGCGATAGGACTCCCAAAAGCGATACGATCAATCAGTATATGTCGGTGTGTTGTCACGGTTCATTGCTGCAGCATGTGTGCCTAAGTTTTTCGCGTGATATGTTGATAGGCACTCGATACCTAATCATTACCTAATCGATACCCACCAAATCGTTTTGTGAGCCACTGCCCATTTTGATGGAATCAGTGTCGCTGCTGCTTTCACTACTGATTATTGCCACGGGGTTGGTACAGTAACTACCATAGAATTTAACACTGGCACTACAGTTATATTCTTAATGTCACAAGAGTAACGCGATACCTCACATCAAATTTTGCCAGGCCCCTGTCAAGCGACAGGATCCCACAAATCAAGGGTTTCAACAGGGAAATGCAGAAGCGCCTTAATCTGAGAGCCCTAGACCCCACACCCTGCAGGTCCAAAGCTCAAGGGCCTGAAAGCCCAACACCCAGAACCAAACCAAAACCAAAACCCCAGCAGCCCGAAGCCCCAAGCCTCGAAGGCCTTAAAACGTACCCTCAGAGCCTTCGCTCGTTCGGTCTCTTCGACGCCGACCCACCCGGAATCGTTCTCGAGGCTCGGGTCCCGGAGCCCCCGCGTAAAGGATCAGGGGACTTGACTGTTGAATTTAAGCAATTTTAAGCGTATATCACTGCAAGGTCAGGATTACAAGACTTATATTATATCCGCTGTAGTGGTATAAGGTAACAGAGTAGTTCTGTCTGCTCGTATCCCCGGCTATACGAAAGGTAACTCGGTTTTCTCTGCTTGGAAGCCGAAAAACGTACTTAGGAGCATACCTCCTAAGTCCCTGATCCTGCAAGCGATGTCGACATTTCCCTGCTGGAGCAGAAGAGCAGAAAGGTGTCCTACCATGATAAAGGTTTAGTGCAAAGGGTGTAGGGTAACGGGATTCGTGCTTACGGGTTTAGAGTTTGGGGCTCCCGGTATGGATCCCGCTCCTTTCTGGCACATCGCTACTTTCTGTTTGGGGGTTCTGGGCAATTCTCATCTCTGACAAGGCGTCCAGTATTTGACCGGAAGCCTTGGGTTTTGGGTTCAGTGTTCCCTGAACCCTAAGCCGTAAGCGCTAGATCCACAACCCTTCCCTGAAGCCCAGTATCTTCTCATGATCCCAGTAGCAGACCTGTACGTGCCGAGGGCGAGAGGATAAGTCTTGCAAAGCTTTATCGTTTATACTTCAAGCCATTCAGACCCACATGCCATGCCACAACAGTGTGTTAGACCCTTAAAAACCCTAGACCCTAAACTCTAAACCCTGCAGTAGAAGCCAGAAAGTTGGAACATCACGAACCTCATGCCCCAATGGTAAGGCACAGGGAATCCCAGCACTAATCATCCTAAATCCTCGTTCCAACTTTCTGTGGTTCACTATATATATCATCGCCGCAGTCTCGCGCAGGGATATGTCGAAATTTCGAGGGGACCTCTGAACCTTTCACCGCGGAAAAAGCAAAGGAATTTTCACTACGCAAGGCGGCCGAGGTTTCTGCCAGGGTTTTGGGTGTTGGGTTCAGGGTTAATGGTTAAGGTTCCAGGGTGTTGCTTTATGGGTCTTAGGCTCATGCAAGGTTACTGTAGAGGTCGGTGGACAGGTTTGTGCGTTCTGGGTGATTTAGAGGGCTCGTTCCATTCAGCATATAGCTATCCTACAGTAGCTCAGCACAAAAAGCACCCCAGAAGCACCAGAAATTTGGCCAAACCCAGAAGTACGACACAGCTCTGAAAGAGTATATCCTATAGTTTGCGGATGTTTTGTGTGTACTTATACTACGCAGAGCACCCATACTATACACGATTTCTTTTTGAGGCCCCTCATACTAAACAGGTCGCAGGATCTTGAAAGTGCAAAGCCCTGAACCCGAAAAGTGTCGAGGCACTTTTTGCCAGGCTTTCGTAGGACTTGTAGGACATTTCACAGGACAGTCTGACTGTAGAGCCCCTGTCAATTCCCGACTGTGAAGCTTTCTGGTTAGGGCTTTATGGTTTGGGGGATTCAAGGCCGAAGGTGTTTCTTTAGGGCTTTCGGTGCAGGGATATGCAGGGTTTAGGCTTCACGAGTTTAGGGCTGAGCTCCTGATGCTTCAGGGCTTTTTGGTGGATTTCGTGCTACGATCTTCCATTAGACTTCTGGCGAAAATTTGGGGAGCGCTTTCGGCTTCATGCGGACTCCAATCCGAACACCCGAACACTTAAATCGAGTTTCAGGACCCTGACGACCACCCAAATACGGGCACCTAGCAGCGGCTGAGATTTATGCAGTTCTCGGGGGCCTTTGGATTCTGGAGCTGGCCATGCCCCAAAATA